AAATCTTTGCATATTCCATTATAGTATTTGGCTTTATCTTCTCGAGCTGATCTTTGAAATTTCCTGTTCAGCTCTTGCACCTCCTCAATTTTTCCATTTGCTTTGGCTTCTCTACGTTGGAGAGCAAGTTTCAGAGTCTCTTCTGACATCCATCTTGATCTTTTCCTTCTTTCTTGTCTGCTTGTAGAATCCTTCAATATTTCAAGTCAAGGCTTGAATTTTTTCTTCATTTCTTTCAGCTTGAGAAATGCTGAGCATGGTCTCCCCTTTTGGCTTTCTAACTCCAAATCTTTGCCCATTTCATTAGAATACTTTACATTGTCTTCATCAACTGGTCTTTGAAATTTCTGTTAGTCTCTTATTCTTCATCATTTCTTCCATTTACTTTCAAGAGCAAATTTCTGTTATTTATAAGCTGTATATTTAGGACTGTTACATATTTCTGCCACATTGACACTTTGAGCATTATAAAATGTCCTTTATCATTTTTAATAAATATTTTTAAAGTCTACTTATGTTTTGAATTTCATGATTCATTTTTTTCTCCATCCTCTTGCTTGCATTCTCTCTGTATCCTTATACAGATTTCTGTTTATCACTATTTCTTTTATGTCATCTACCTGTTTGTTTCTTATATTTCCTTGTCTGCTTTTGAATTTCTTGAGTATTTTTCTTGTATTTTGTCCTTGTAATTGACTTGCTAGTTGTGCTTTATTTTACTCTTTATTAGTTGCTGCACTATTTTTTTTTACTTGAGAAAATATAGCTAGATCGTTAGACCAGTGTAACTACATTCATTCCTACGTTATGAGTTCTTGTTATTGTATTTAGTTTTAAATATATTTTAAACTCAATAAATTTTGCAATCACTGTTTTGTTCAGTCAATATTAATTTATGCTCACTCCATAATTTGCCCTTTTTCTCATGTATTTCCGTTTTTTTCCTTTCTCATCTATTTGAAGAACTCTCTTTAGTATTTCTCTTAGTGTAAGCCTAATTCCTTCAGATATCACTTTTGAAAGATAGATACCTAAATAAAATTCCTTATGTATGTTGTTGTTGTTAATTGCCGTCAAGTTGATTCCGATCCATAGCCATAGCTTCCGTTTTATGTCATTAGTTTTGTAACAAAATCCCTCACTCTATTTTAATGTATAAATAAGTTTAGTAGTTTACTCTAAGAGTGTAGTGTGCTGTTGTCTGATTTTTCCCTCTTTTTTCTACTAACGTTCCTCCACTAGCACAGCCAGATACTCATGGATCATAAAGATTATATTTTATGTAAATTCTACCATGGTGACAGTTATAACTTTTTTCCCCATATGTTTAGTTTCAGATGATCATGAAGACACTGATGGTGATGGTGTTCATGAAATAACAAGTCGAGACAGTCCAGTTTATCCCAAATGTTTGCTTGATGATAACCTTGTCCTGGGAGTTTATATTCACCGAACTGATCGACTTAAATCGGATTTTATGATTTCTCACCCGATGGTTAAAATTCACGTGGTTGATGCAAATACTGGTCAATATGTCAAGAAAGATGATAGGTAATGTGGCTTTTTAATTGCACAGCCAAATTGTCATAGATGTCCTTTCTTGCTGTCATTGACAATTGAGTGAAGCTATGGATTTGTTCTAAAGGAATGGTGTCCATCACACCATTGACACTAATTACTATGTTTTATGGAAGAACTTGAGGGCATCTGTTAATTCAGCAATTCACTTTAAGTAGAATGGGGTTGGAGCTACTACTTCTAGACTATTAGACTACTACTGTACTCCATAGGGTTTTCAATGGCTGATTTTCCCAAAGTAGGTTGCCAGCCCTTTCCATTCAAAGTGCCTCTGTGAGGCCTGGGACTTCTGGTTAGCAGCTAGCACATTATCCATTAGCAATACCTAGGGATTCCTTTACCAAGTGTAATGACTATTTTACAGTCTTTTAACTTAGATTGTAAATCTTGCATTGTAAGTTGTGTGTTTGTTTTCCTATTCAAATTTACTGTAATACTTTTTCACAAATTTATTCAAGGTTCTGAATAAGTTACTTTATTCTAGCCTAAAGGTATAATTGTAACTTGTAATTTTCTGTGTGTGATAAAATAATTTCTGTTAAACAAACTGGTAGTATGTAAGTACCCTAACCAAACCAACTGCCGCTGAGTCGATTCCAAACTCTTAGTGACCCTATATAGTGTTTCTGAGACTGTAAATCTTTACAGCAGCAAACAGACTCATTTTTCTCCTCATAGTGGGTTTGAAAGGCCAGGCTTGCAGTTGGCAGCCCCGTGCTTACCCTGCAGTGCCACCAAACCTCCTTAGCATAAAAATGCAAGATCAAAATATCTCCTACAATTTACCATTTTCTAGATGGGGAATAGCGTAATGTTTTTATTATTTGTATCATTTTAGCTATTGTTTCTGATTGTCTCACATTAATTTATTTCTCACGTTCTTTATAATTTCGTATAGAATTGTGTTGTTAATGGAAGTAACTTCTTTTCCCTTTCTTTTGGAGTAGTGAACGACCTGTTTCATCTTATTATGAGAAAGACAGTGTGGATTACATTCTTCCTATTATGACACAGCCATATGATTTTAAACAGTTAAAATCAAGACTTCCAGAATGGGAAGAGCAAATTATATTTAATGAAAATTTTCCCTATTTGCTTCGTGATTTTGATGAGAGCCCTAAAGTTATCCTGTTCTTCGAGGTATGAATTAATTAGAGTTACTGATATAAATTTTAATTAATTTAAGATATTACAAATAGCACTAATGTAAACAGTTCTTTGTAATGGTTCAGTAATGCCTCAGAAATGCATAAAGGGTTGATTTAATCCCTGGAATTTGCTGTTTGAAACAAGCGATGGAGATCCAAGTGCGAGGCTGTTTTACAGCAGTGATAGAGCACTTGCCGAATATTAGCCAGGGTCAGTAATCAGACCTTTGGTATGCTGGTGCTTGTGGTAGTAGTGTGCCCTGGAGTTGGTTCCGACTCTTAGAGACTCTCTATAGGGTTTCTGAGGCTATACATTTTTACAGGAGCAGAAAGCTTCATCTTTCTCCGATGGAATGGCTGGTAGTTTTGAACTGTTGGCCCTGAGGTTAGGAAGCCCAACTTGTAAACCACTATTCTACCAGAGCTCCTTCGTTATGCTATATATCATTGAATCCTTCCAACAACTCCATGACCATGAGCTATTAACTGAAGTGATGAGCCTAATCTGTATGAATTCAGAGCTTCTATTCTGAATCCATTTCACAAAGTGCAAGCTTGTTAAACTATCTCAAACTCCCTAAGTCTTTATCGTTTAGCTGGTGACATAAAGGTAAACATACACAGATCAATTGGCTAATTCAATGTTATTGTTGTTGTTGTTGTTAAGTGCCGTCGAGTTGGTTCCGACCCATAGCGACCCTGTATAGGGTAGGCTGTAAATCTTTACAGGAACAGAAAGCCTCATCTTTCTCCTGCGGAGCAGCTAGTAGTTTCAAACTGCTGACCTTGCGGTTCGCATCCCGATTCGTAACCACTACGCTACCAGAGCAATGTTATAGATAACCAGAAATGATCTAGAACTTCTTGGATGTAAAGGGTTAGTGGAGGGTCAGAATAGTCAGGGTAAGCTCTGGAGAGTAGATGGGCTGTGAGCTGACTTGTTAGTCTCCATTTGCTGATAAGGAAATTAAACGTTTCAAGTTCACTGATTTCTCCAAAAGTAATTACTTTGAAATGCATATCATGAATATTTGAAGATAAGTTTGACCTTAAAATACTCTTTTATCATGTTATATCTCTGCATAAGCAAAGAGAAAGGTAAAGAAAATGAACTTTGTATTTTAAGCATTATTGAGCATTTTCACATGAGGAAATTGACATGACTAGAGCCGGTGATTCATTGTAGAGTTGCTTGTCCTTAGGATCTTTGACTTTTCTGTTACCTATGTTGATTTATGATATATTCTTTTGCATATGCCTATGATTACATTGTGTGATTTATTTAAAGTTGGATGAAGAAAAAGGGATATAATTTGTATTATATTTCAAGGAATTTTTCCCTGGTCTTAGAAATTTGTTCTCTGATAGCTATGGTAATTTTCAGTGTTTGTTTTATTATGGTTAAGAGATTGGGGACTGCTAGATTACAGGTATTTTGGGTTGCTTCTTAAGTTTTAATGTGCTGTGTTACTGCCTAGGTGACGTACTTTCTAGTTTTGACAGTTTAAAGGTTTACTGAGGACATATCGCAGAGTATCAGAAATAACACAGCCATTTCACTTCTAGGCATTCATCTTAAGGGAAAAGTGACAAGTGTGTGAAAACGGACTTGCAAGACCATTCATTTCAGCTTTGTTTATAATAGCAAAATATTAGGGAGAACCTACATTTCAATTAGATTATGATTTTTATTAAATGGCTTGTGGTGTTTATACTACAGAAGAGTACTGTGCATTCTTTAACATGATATGGTGACATATATTAACATGTGATTGACTTGAAGAGATATCCTAAGTTATACATTCAGTTAGTCCTCAAATTACAAATCAGTTCCATTCTTAAGCCTGTCCTTAATTCGAATTTGTAAAGTTCATATCTAATATTTAGTCAGATGTTTGTTGTTTGTATACAGTTTACATTTCTATGAATAAAAAAAATTAAACATTTCTAGATGCACTGAAACATCTTTAATATAATATAGTAATAATGTTTTGATGTGCATCACAAAGTAGCATCCATTTGTTATTACAAACCATTGCATGCCCCTCAAATTTTAAATATAATAAGCTTTATGAGAGTTGGTTCATAACTGCAGCTTGGACATTCGTAGCATGGGGATTACCTGTACATGAAAAGAGTTTGTAAACCAGCATTATCAGATTTGCATTTGAGATTGTGTTTTAGATACTTTTATAAATTAGATGTTAATTAATGATGGCTATCTATGAATCAGGATTTCAAGGTCTTTACAGTTTGCTTACATATTTTTCTATATTGCTTGAGTGATTTTTCAGTAAGCATGTATTATACCTGGAAACCGATTTTGCTGTCTAAAGAAGATGAATGGAGTCCATATTATTTTTAGGCAGTCTTCCATAACGATTCCTGATCTCAGCTGAGCTTTGGAATGGCAGCAGTTTTATGTGATAGTGACTGACAGCTACCTCTGGTTCAGATAGTTTCTGTGGCAGGTTGACTATAAAAGCATGAGTTTTAACAGCCAAAGAAGATAGAAGAGTGAAGGAAATCCTCCAAAATGTATCCAAAAAGAAAACTTACAAATGCAGGAAGGTGGTGACCCAAGGAAGGATTCAGAAATAGGGCAAGAGGGTTTTTTTTTTAGCAAACAAACCTGTGATGTCACTTCTGATGCATAAACAAATGCTCACAATTTAGGATTCTGTGCTTGGGTCATTTAAGCTTAGACTACATTTGAAGCTTGTAATACTCTGCCTTGGATTTGAAATAAATCTTAAGAAAATATTTATTAAAAAAGATAAAGTGAGAAAATCGACCCTCTCTACCTGAAAGAGTTAACTTTAAAGTGAATGACACTTGGTGCAAAAGTGTTCCCTCCACAACACAAAAAATTTTAAGGAAGCAAATTTTTATTTTATCTTAATAATGTATTATTGGAACCCTGGTATACTGCTATAGGTAAGCACTGGACTGCTAACCACAAGGTTGGTGGTTCAAACCCACCAGCCACTCCTCAGAAACCCTATACATGGTCACTAAGAGTTGGAACCAACTTGACAGCACTTAACAGCAGCAATTGGAGACTACTAAATTTTAGGTAACCAATTATCATATGAAGTAATTCTGGGGAAATTTATTTACAGATTCTTGATTTCTTAAGCATGGATGAAATTAGGAATAATTCTGAGGTTCAAAATCGAGAGTGTGGATTTCGGAAAATTGCCTGGGCGTTTCTCAAGGTATGTTTCTCAGATCCACTTTATGCACCTAAAACAATCGTAAAATCTGATTGACTGCTTTCTCACAAGACAGTGTGGCTTCATAAAGCAGGGCATGATTTAAGGTAAGATTGCAGTTATTGGGTTAGGTGCCGTCAAGTTGCTTCCGACTCATACTACCTTATGAGTCCCTCACAATCATTTTTAAGCTTGAGCCCATTGCTGCTGCCACTATGCCAGTGCATCTTGTTAGGTGTCTTCCTCTATGTCACTAACCTTCCACTTTATCTACCATGATATCCTTCTCCAGGGACTGGTCCCTCCTGATAATATATCAGAAGTATGAAAGGTAAAGTCAGTCTATTCTGGCTTCTAAGAAGCATTCTGGCTGGACTTCTTCCATGGCAGTCCATGATGCTTTTATTATTATTCTCTAAGACCAAAACTCAGATGCACCAATTCCTCTATGATCTTCCTTATCCACTGTCCAACTTCCACATGCATTTGAAATTCTTGAAAATATAATAGATTGGGTCAGTTAGTTCTCAAACTGACATCTTTGCTCTCAAATACTTTTAAGAGGTCTTGTGCTGCAGATGTGCCTAATGCAATGTGTCGTTGGGTTTCTTGACTGCTGCTTCCATGAATTTTGATAGTGGATCCAAGAAGTCTTTGACAACTTCAATCTTTTTTCCATTTATCATGATGCTATTTGTTGGTCCGGGGTGAGAAATGATTTTTCTTTACATTGAAGTGCAACCCATACCTAAGGCTGTGGCCTTTGATCTTCATCAGTAAGTATTTTAAGTCCTCTTCACTTTCAGCAAACAAAGCTGTATCATCTACATATTGCAGGGTGTCAATGAGTCACCCCTCCAATCCTCATGCCACATTCTTCTTCATATAATCTGGATTCTCGAATTATTTGCTCATATTACAAATTGAATAACTATGGTGAAAGAATACAACCTTTGGCACTTACCTTTCCTGATTTTAAAACATACAGTATCCCATTTTTCTGTTTGAACAATTGCCTCTTGGTCTGTACAGGCTCCTCATGAGCACAATTAAGTGTTCCGGAATACTCATTCTCCACAATGTTGTCTACAGCTTGTCATGATCCACACAGTTGAAAGCCTTTGCATAGTCAGTAAAGCACAGGTTAACATCTTTCCGCTATTCTCTGTTTTTAATCAAGATCCAGCTGACATCATCAATGATATCTCTTCTACTATGTCCTCTTCTGAATCTAGCTTGAACCTTTGGCAGTTCCTGTCAATGTACTATTGCAACTGGTTTTGCATTATCTTTAGCAAAGTTTTATTTGCATGCGATATTAATGGTGATTGTCCAATTTCCCCATTCCATTGGATTCACCTCTTTTTGGAATGGGCACAAATATGGATCTCTTCTTTTGGTTGGACAGGTAGCTGCTTCCAATGCTGCATCAGTTTGTTGAAAGTTTTCAATTTGTATTCCATCAATTCCTCCAGCCTTGTTCTTTGCCAATGTCTTCAGTGCACCTTGTACTTCATCCTTCTGTACCTTTGACTCTTGGTCATTTCCTAACTCTTGAAATAGCTAAATATCATCCATTTCTTTTGGTACAGTGACTCTATATTCCTTCCATCTTACTTGTAATACTTTCTGCATCATTCAATATTTTGTTCATATTAGCCTTCAGTATTGCAACTCAAGGTTTGACTTTTTCTTCAGTTCTTTCAGCATTAGAAGTGCTGAATATGTTCTTCCCTTTTGATTTTCTTACTCCAAGTCTTTACACATTTCATTTTAATACTTGACTGTTTTCTCAAGCTGACCTTTGAAATTTCTGTTCAGCTCTTTTACCTCCTCATTTCTTCCATTTGTTTTATTCTGCTGTGCACAAGGTCGCTATGGGTTGGTACCAATTCGATGGCACCTAACAACAACAACCCTGGAGAGCAACTTTCAGAATCTCTTCTGACAACCATTTTGGTCTTTTCCTTCTCTCTTTTCTTCTTAATTAACTTTTGCTTTGTTCCTCTGTGATGTTCTTGATGTCATCCCACAAGTCCTCTGATTTTCCATCATTAATGTCTAATGCATCATATCTCTTCTTGAGATGATCTCTAAATTCAGATGGGATATGTTCAAGGTCAAATTTTGGCTCTTGTAAATGTGTTATAATTTTCTTCAGCTTTGGTTTGAACTTGCATATGAGCAATTGATGGTCTTTTCCACAGTCTGCCCCAATCTTGTTTTGTCTGATGATATGGAGCTGTTTTACTATCTCTTCCCACAGATGTCAGTTTGATTTGTGTATTGTCATCTGGTAAGGTCCATGTGTATAGTCATCTTTTGTCTAGTATAAAAAAAAAAAGGTGTTTGCAATGAACAAGTCATTGATCTTGTAAAATTATTCTGTCATATGATCACTAACATTGTTTCTACCATCAAGACCATATTTTCTAAATGCTCCTCAGAAGTCAGGAGGGTGAGAGTTTGTCTCTCATACTTTGGATATGTTATCAAGAGGGACCAGTCCCTGAAGAAGCCCATCGTTATTGGTAAAGTGGAGCATCAGCAAAAAAGAGGGACACCCCTAATGAGAGGGATTGACACAGTAGCAGCAGCAAGGGGCTCAAGTGTAACAACAGTTGTGAGATTGGCACAGGATTGGGCAGTGTTTTGTTCTGTTGTGCATAGAGTTGCTGAGAGTGGGTACCAACTCAATAACACCCAACAACAAGAAGACTTCATATCTGTGTTTCTAATTTAGAAATTATAAATTAGAAACTCTTATAATTTATAGAGGACCGTAAGGTACAAAGACATGGGTATTTCCTGTTGAGGAAGTCAGTCAGTGAAATTTTTAGTTTAGTTTAGTTTTGTTTGTTTTTTTAATTTTCCAACAATATTTCCACTTGGAAATGCAGTTACCTACCGGAAGCTCCTACTTAACTCTCCCATAAGTATCTCAGGCTGCTCCAATCTGAACCTCAGTTGGCAGCACCATTTGCCTGATCTTCCAAGTTTGCAACCTTAGTGCTGCTTTGTCCATGGGGGAAGCCACTAACCACATGTGCCTATGTGAATTCAAGTTACTTAGATAATTAAATCGATACGAAGTTATTTAATTTTAAAATTAAATAAGTTGAATAATAAAATGCTTAGTTGCACTGACCACATTTCAGATGTATCTGACTAATGAAGCACCTGGTATGGCTCTGTAGGATCAGCACTGGGTCTCTCATCGCTAGATTGGTGGTTCAAACCCACCAGCTGCTCCTTGGAAATCCTAATTAATACAGGGTCACTATGAGTCAGAACTGACTCAACAGCATTGAATACTGTATTGTTGTTGTTCTTAAGTGACTCTGAATCACTGACCTTGCAGTTCAAACCAACCTGGTGGGCCAGTGCTTTTTCCTACAGTGCCACACCAGGACTCTGGATACTGTATTGTTGTTGTTGTTGTTAAGTACCGTGGAGTCAGTTCTGACCCGTAGTGACCCTGTACAGGTTTCCGAGGCTGTAAATCTTTACTGGAGCAGAAAGCCTCATCTTTCTCCCGTGGAACAGCTGGTAGTTTTGAACTGCTGACCCTGAGCTTAGCAGCCTGATTCGTAACCACTACACTACCAGAGTACAATAATACTGTATTAGCTAGCACAAATACAAACATTTCTATCATCATAGAAATTTTTAGATTTTCTTGAGTCTTTCCTCTTTTACCTTCCAAGTTTAATCAGTCCGTAAGCCTTAGCAGTTTTCCCTTATGAACAGTTATTACATGTGTCCTGCACCCAGTTCCTACTCTTATAGTTCGTTTTTCTTGTACTTGAACTGCTACCAAGGTTCCCAACTCTTCAGATTTATAGAGGACCCCAAGGTACAAAGACATGGCTATTTCCTACTAAGGAAGTCAGCCAGTGAAATTTTTAGTTTAATTTTTTTGTTTTTGTTTTTAAACTTTTCCAACAATATTTCCATTTGATTAACAGAACATTTTGCTTTGTTTGATAAGTTTTTTTTTAAATAGTTTTTTTTTTTAAAGGTAGGGCAAGCATTGTTTTAAAAATGTTATCAGTTTAATTACCCTAGTCATTTAAAAAAATAATTGTGAGTTTAAAAAAATTACAAATATTTCCTTCAAAATTACTGCTCCTAAACAAATGGGGACTTTATATTTAAATAAAGTCATTTTAATCTTTAGCATTGGTGTTTCATGACCTTCTTTTTGTAGTCTGGCACAATAATGTAAGTGCTATACCAACAGCCTGATGTTGTGTAATTGGCAAAAGAGAGTCATCAAAAAAAACAGTTAGTCCACTGAGTTCTCTCTTGTCAGTATTTTTGAGCTCTCTGAGTGTTCTTTTCCTCTGCTTTATAAATATAAGGGATCTCAGCATGCAAAGTTAATATTTTTAAGTGAGTTACTGACAGTATACTGTTGTTTATTGGCTGCATTTTTCTTCAGTGAATGTGATTTAAAAAATAATTCTTATCTTAAGCTTTTAGGAGCCAATGGAAATGTAAACATCAATTCAAAACTTCGCTTACAGCTGTATCACCCACCTGCCAAGCCTCGCTCACAAACAAACGTTGTTGAGATTTTTGATTGGTGGTCAAAATGTCCAAGAAATCGTTATCCATCAACGTTATACGTAACTATAAGAGGATTGAAAGTCCCAGATTGTGTAAGTTAGTAGCACAGATAAATGTATCCCCCGTTAGTGAAATTTAATCATTCTGTAATATTTTCCATTTCCAAAAAGATGTTACCTTACCTTAGTAGATATCTCTTAAATTATTTTAATAGATTTCTAGAATAAAGGTACCTTAAGAGATTGCATGTTAAGCCTGTAACAGCTGATACTTAAAAGGTATTTTTTTTTAATGTAAGTACTAAATGCAGATTTCAGTGTTTTAAATTTTTTAAGGTTAAAAGAAGAGTTAGCAGAAATTTTGTATAAAGGTCTAGATAGTAAATAATTTTGTGCTTTTGTGGGCTATAAGATCTGTGTTGCCACTACTCAGATTATCATTATTGTTGTTGTTAAGTGCTGTCAAGTCGGTTCCGACCCATAAGTACCTTGTATAGATGGGATTTCCGACGAGCGACTGATGAGCTTGAACTGCTGACCTCGTAGTTCAGGTGGCTTTGCATTCTGGTGCATTAACCCATAGTGCCACATCAGGACTCCCACATTACTATGGTAGCATGGAATTCCTGCCTTAACATAATGTAGACATATTTAAGTAATTGAATAGGTATGCTTGTGTTCTAATAAAATTTATTTACAGACACATACCGCAGGCCCATATACCTTATTTGCAAACCCCTGATATAAAATAAAAGCGCATTATTCACAATATTATTACACTGATTGGTAAGTAATGTTTCTACTGCTATTTTACGTACATTAAAATGATAAATAATCGTACCAGAATGAATTGGTCTCAAAAATTAAATAAAATTTAGCAAATGAGACATTCATCTTCCAGTTCAGTTGCACATTATGTAGTTGATACTATGGCCACAGGATTTATGACATGCATTCATTGAGATTGAATTAAATGCGTTCTTAAGAAATGGAGAATTTTAAAAGCTGCACGTTCATGGCTGTAAGTTTCTTGATTTTTAAAGCCTGAAATATTGAAGTAGGCCAGAGCCACAGCATAGCTTGTGATATCTTTTGGATAAGAATCTCAGACAGATATTAAAAGCATTTCATGTACCACTGATGTCCTCTTTCTTCCTTCAAAGTTTTAGGGTTTTGTTTTTTTTAAACCAGGTCTATAGTTTCAAGAAGCTTATATTTTATTTTGGAGTTCCTGGTTAAGTGCTCAGCTACTAACTGAAAGATTGGTGCTTTCAGTCTACCCAGAGGTGACTTGGAAGAAAGTCCTGGCAGACTACTTCCAAAAGACCACAGCCATTGAAAACCTTATGAGGCTCAGTTCTGCTCTTACACAGGGTCGCCATGAGTCAGAATCAACTTGATGGCAATTGATTTTTTGTTGTTGTTACTTTATTTTAGAAAAATGTATAAACGAAGTAGATTTTTTTGGATTACATGTCCATGTTGGCTTCTTGTGTCGGTAGTTTAAAGCAGCAGTACATACCACGAAGAAGAAAAAGATGTATGCATTGTATGGACTGTCTCATTTTTCATACCTTTTTAGATAAAGCCATCTTACCGGTCTATGATGGCTCTTCAGGAGGAAAAGGGTAAACCAGTATATAGTGAGCGTCACTGTGAATCAAGTCCAGTAGACTCAGAACCTGGATTAGAAGATTCAAAGGAAGTAGTCCGATGGAAACGACTTCCTGGGCAGGTAAAGTGTTGGGAGGCTTCGATCACACTGAAATCATTAAAATATTTGCTTATTTATGTCAAAAACTCGAACAGCTCCTAGAATAACTTGCTTGATACTAAAAATTTAGATTATCTTTATTTCTACCCATAAGCTACTTTTCTCATCAATTCATTTGTCAGATAATATAGAACACATGTCATGCACATAAAAACAAGTCTCTTAAGCTCTTGGTTTCGGGGCCTAAGAAGTCAGAAAGTAAGAGTTTTTTTATGTCTGTGAGAGTACGGATTCATACATTTTTTTATTACACTGGCATCTTCCTCACTCATGTTTTAATGGAGACCTATGCATGCATATTTTTCCAACACATGTTGATCAGCCTTTCAGCTTTTACTGATATGTTCTTACTTGGTTAGCATTTCTTACAGTTGCCAGAGCATGCCTGGGTACAGTTTTACATATTTTTTAACTTATTTCCATAAAGAGTAGATTGCCTCATTCATACATCTGAGCCATTATCAGATGCAGTTTATCCAAAGATCTAATTTACAGATCAAGGATAATTCTTTACGTACGCTTCTTTACTTTCTTTGGTTTGCTCATGTTTGACTTTCTTATTGAAGGCCATTTTGCAGATACATTTTAAAGTCATGTTCATCAGAGTTTAATAATATGGAAAGGATTATGGGAACATTCTCCCCTAGCTAAGGACGTGTGAGAAACCAGTTACAGTGTTCACTTTCAGATATGTTTCAGAAAAGACAGGGAGAAAAAGAGTTGTGTAGATCAGCACTTCCAAAAGTGTGGTTTTGGAACCCCTGGGAGTCTCCCTTTCTGGGGATCTGTGCGCTCAGTCCATTTTCATAATAATTCTAAGATAGTTGTCTTTTTCAGTGTCATTCTTTCACAAGTGTATACTTGGATTTTTTTAGAGGCTTAAATGACTTATTGGATCATAATGCGATTCATGTGGAAATAGTTAGGGAAATCCTAACTACTGACCAGTAACATTAAAAGGAAGAGTCCACGATTCTGAGGAAATTCAGGGAGTGATACAGTGGTTGCAACAATGATCTCAAAAATAGCAACGATTGTGAGGCTTGCGCAGAACCAGCAGTGTTTTTGTTCTGGTGTATGTAGGGTTGTTCTACATGGGAACCGACTTTGTGCACGTCACAACAGCACCAACAGTGGTTGTTATTGAATTTTCATTGAGTGTGTGTTTTTGATAGGACATAACATCAAACCCAGGGGATACAAAGACAACTATCAAAGTTCCAGTGGTTTCCACTTCAGTGATGGGCACAGCTTTCCTTAGCTGCAAGTGATTATTAAATTTCGTAACTTCTCCTCATGTTCTTCTCTTTTCATTTCCTTCACCCTTTGCTAAATCACCATGTTGGAGAATGGAAGAAAAAGATGAGTAATGTTGTCTCTGATACATTATTGGCACCTAATAAGTGTCTGTTTCTGTTGAATTTTTCACCCTACAGCAGTTGCTCATGACACTGCTTCCTTGACCCTGTTTGTGAAAAACCTGATTGTAGAAAGCAAGTCCCTGAACTGAGAATCTCTGAGTAGGCC